GACAAAGGACGATACAAGACCTATTTTCTGTCTTCTGGATAAAGTTGACCTAAACGGCAAAAAGCATGTTGTTTAGACCACCCTAAGAGAAACAAAATATTACCATCTTGTTAAATGTACTATATATTTTTTTATCTTCTACCGTGACAATATACATTTTTTTATTTTATTACATTTTACAATGGTGATATTTTGTTTCTATTGCACTCAACACTGGAAGCTTGCCTCGAGGCTATACAAGGCCTGAACGACAGGATATCGCCTTAATGACCGCCAAATGATTCTTTCCAGAAAATGAATCAGAGGTGGGCTCACACCTCCTAAGAAAGTAAAAGAAAGAAAAAGGAAAAAGAGAGTAAAGCAAAAACGTTATGAAAGAAAAAAAAAAATTTACAACAAAGTGGCACTTTTCCCAAAGAATTTCTTTCCCAAAAGAATTTTTTTCCCAATTAATCAGTGAAGATCACCTATTTTCCCCTCAGATAGGCCATAATCTGTAACAAAGAGGCACTATTGGCAAGCCCGATTCATTTTTTTTTAAAAGTTCGTGTTTAAGGACACGGCCGAGCTTGGACTAGGTTGGGTGCGGCGGCCTCCACTTACGGCCGAGTCAGGTCCCAACTCACCTCTTTTAAAAATTATTTAAAGGGGTCCAGCACAAGACTTTCTAGTATCCGCATCCAAAACGACTTCAGGATTTATGTATTTTATTAAAAGATGAGGTAAATAAAAGATGAATTCAATAACAAAGAAGGTAAAATTGGTATAAAAAGGGACACTTTCCCAATAATAAAGGTTCACCACCTTGCTTAACAGGGGATCGTATACAATGAGACTATTTTATATAAGGAGGTCACAATTACTTATAATTATATGATGTAAAATGGATGTGCTACAAAGTTCGAAAAAATTTCTTTGGAACTTTGAACTTGGTCAATGAAATAAACGTCTCCACTCAATTTCACATCCAATGGTCAAGATTAATTGTGACCACCTTGCAGCAAAGGTAAATAGTCTCATCACATATTGTCCCTCTAAACTAGGAGAGTGCATTATGCACTTTCATTATTTTATAAAAATAGGTGAATACTGAAATGTTGTTTTTCTGTCTAGATATTTGTATAATTTTTAATTATAATATAGTTGTATGATATACATCAAAATAATTTAAAAATATTAGAAAATAATTTCATATAATTTAAAAGTATTTTTAATGTATATGAAAATAATTATATTGACATAAGTTTAACATAATTATATTAAGTTATTAACATAAATAAACAACAATTTCATATAATTATGTTAATTTTTGTAAATTATTATATGTGATTTAATTTTTATAATTATATGTAATTAAAACTTAATTATATGTGCGTTATTTTTGTATATTATAAAAAATAAAAAAATATAATTAATCTTAAAAAAATTATAGACCATTTCATTTTTATAGATGACCTTGTCTATGAGAGAGATCTATTTAAAGAGCATTTAATTTGTATTTCATTGTATATATGAGAGAGACATTTAATTTACTTTAATGATGTTCACATGCATACCAATAAAAAGGTTTGATGATCATGTATTATATAAAAAGGTTTAATGAGTGGGTGCGTACGTAAAGAGTGTACATTGAATTATCCCACATCTAAACTTTAAAGGCGAATTCACTATTATAAAATGGTTGTGACCGACGCATTTAAATTCGATTATGCAAGTGGGACGTGTCAATGCCGTGACACATAATGACAAATGAAGAAAAGGTGGGCAATTTTGAGCCCTCGATTTTGAAAAACATTTCAGAGGTACCCTTGAAAAAAAAATTACATTTCAGAGGTACCCTTGCAAAAAATTTATTTTAGCAAATCGGTTGGCTGGATCCAGAATAGTCCAACTGATACCCGATTTCGAATCGGGTCGCTAATTTTTCAAACACTTGTTCAAACTTTCAAAGATAGGGTGAACAGCTTATGACACATGAGCAAATATGCTATACTTCTATGGGAATAAAGGATATGCTATACTTCTATGGGAGTAAAAGAAAATTGTTTCATGCGGAAAGTGTAAAGGAGGTGTTCCATTAAAAAACAATGGAAAATTAAGGGTCCAAATGTTTTCGTATTGGAATTTTATTTTTAGTTTTTAAAATTTATTTATTTTTTTCATTACATGTCCATAAAAAATAAGTCTTAAAATCCATCTCAACAATAGTTTTATTAAGAGGCCCGCATTTCTATATATGCGGGCTTGGCCATATAGAAACCAGGTCCAAGACTAAATTGTACACATAGTCCCTGGGTAATAAGAAGAACTACAAGGAAAAATTTTTCAATATCAATTTTTTATATCCACTTAATAATCATTAGATGATTATTTTAAAAGAAAAAACTTTGAAGTTTGAGTTTTCTAACACTTAGATATCACCCTTCAAAAATTGAATGGCATGTGTTCAATCCTGAGACATTAATTATTAAAGTGCATAGAGTGTGCAATTTGGATTTTTTTTTATTGAGGTCCGTCTATCCATTGAGACATCACATATCTAAAATTTGGGGTCATAAAATTATGGAAAAATATCTTCATATCCCCTGTTTTTAAGTTTCATATCTTGATAAACCCAAGGTTTCACAAGATGTCTTCTAATCCCCTCGCCACTTTAAACCTATTTTTAACCTAAACACATGTGAGAAAGACACGTTATTTTTAAACCCAATCATTTCTCTCTTCATTTATATACCCCAAACTTCTCTCTTTCTCTCTCTTCATGTGTCTCTCACTCGCGCTCTCCTTTCGTGTTTCTCCAAACATCTCTCTCTCTTGCAGGTAACCTTTTACCTCCATGAAGTCTTGTCTCTAGAAGTTTGGGACGATGGCTTTTAGAAAAGGCATGTCTTTTTGGCTTTGTTTGACCTAAAAAAACAAGTTTAAAATAACTCAAAGGGTTAGAAGAAATAAAATCTACAATTTTTATACCCAAATATATCTTTTAAAACCTTAAGTCTATTGTGAAATGAAACTTAAAAATACGGAGTATAGAGATATTTTCCCTAAAATTATTCCTAGAGTAGGTTTTATTGAGGTAGTGAATGAACAATATACTCCTATAAATGTATAAAATCTTATGGCTTTATGTATGAGAAAAGTTTATATAGAGTTGAGGCTCTAAACAATCAAATTCGAGCCTACCTCAAAAATTTCACTAGAAGTAGTTGTTTTAATGCCCAAATATCGTCAAATTGATCATCTCGACATAAAGATGCATGGACATGAGAAAAAAATAGATTTCAACTTTTGAATAAAAATTAGATTTCAACTTTTGAATATAGTTATTTTGTAACGTATTTTTTGACCATCAATTTTCAAGATTTTCAAGTTTTCATAAATCACTTGATCTGCACTACTTTTTGAGCTTTAAACATTATAAATAAAGATGAAAATATATTTTAAGGCTTTCAAAAAGATTTCCAGTATTGAAACCACATTTCTCGACACTATTTGAGGTATGCTCTAATTTGATTGTTTAGAGCCTAGTCTCTATACAAACCACACCCTTTATGAATTGTCTCATCCTCTCCATCATTTAAACTATTCCTTCTCGAGTGGCCTTAGGGGTGAGAACAAGTCAGATCGGAGCCAGATCCGGATTTGTATCTAAATAGTATATATCGGATTCGAGTTGGATCTAAGTTCAAATCAGATCCTGGATATTTGAATTTGGATTTGGATTTGAATAGTAAACATTGGATCCAAATCTGGATCTAGATATATACTATTTTAAAAATATATATCTAATAAAAAGTTATTGTTTAAAAAAAATTGGGTTGGATCCAGATCTGGATTCAAGTCGGATCTAAATCTGATCCACCTGCACCTGAATCCGATCTAAATTTTAATTCGGATTTAACTTTTGGATCTAGATAAATTTCGGATCCAAATTTTGAATCCATACTTGGATCTAAAAAAGGTCTAAAATCTAAATTTCAGATCCAGATAGGATCAATTCTCCCTCTTCCACACAATGGCTTGGTGGTTCTCTATCGAATCCATTCCCTTTTCCCTTAAAAACGTCACCCACCCCATTCTCTCTCTCTAAAATACTCCTCAGACACTGTTTTTCCCATTTTCTCTCTCTACATTACTCTTCCTGAATCTCACGTAGGAACCGTTTACACTCCGACCTCCAACTCCTTTGAGAGAGACCCAAAAAAATTAATTTTTAGATGGAGACCTCAAAAGTATTGAAGGAAAAATCGGGCAGTCTGACAGGTAATTGCTTGGTTAGATCGGAACTGGCCACAAGCCAGTTTTGGTTTCACCCAATTTGATGTCCGGTCGGGTATTTTTAACTGAATATATATATATCATCCCAAAAAATAAGGAATTTTGTTTAATATTTTTCATCATTATAACAAAGATTGTGAATTATTTTGGCCATTAATATTTATTTTTAAAAATATCTTTAGGCACAAATGGATTCTTTAGAATCCATTTTTCATTAATTTTCAATTTTATTTTAATGTGTTTTGTTTATTTATTTTTTAAATAAACTTTTTATATTTTATTAAATTTTTATTTTATTTTTTTAAAACTTTTTTGAGTTCTGGAACTTGCCCGATTAGAATGGTTGAACTGCTTCTGATTCCATATCCGTTCCAAATCGATTTTTCTACGCTACTCAAAAGTCATAAGTTTTGGATATTTTTTTCTACACTGCTCAAAGGTCATTACTACGACGATATCCGCTTGTGCTGTGATGAGATTTTGAGGTCTATGGAGAGAGAGAGGCTCAGCAAAAGAATAATGGCGGTCCACCCAAAGAATAATGTAAAAGAGATATATAGAAAATAAAAACTATTGACTGTAGGCAAAACACGGGTCGTCTATGTTGAAATTTGACATAGAATTCACACCATCCTCTCACTCTATATACGCAATTCAGTAAGCAACATTACGAAGCTATGGAAATGGTGGTGAGATTTTCAATCCTTATCCTTTTCTCATAGTACCTTGGGCCTTCTTAATGGATCCTCTGGTTCGCCAATGGTTGCATTAGAAACTGAAGCATTGCTCGACTGGAAAACCAGTCTGATAAATCAGAATCTCAAGTCATGGGTTTTTTATGCCAACAACATGACTGCCTATTGTGAATGGGTTGGTATACGATGCTACAATGGTGGAAGCATAATCGAGATTAAACTCTCAAATTTCGGTCTGAATGGGACTCTCAATCGATTGAACTTCTTATCATTGCCCTATTAACCCACCTCAATTACAGCTTGAACCATCTTGAAGGTAAGATCCCGAAAACCATCGGCACTTTCAAAACTTTCGTTCTTGGATTTGGGTAGCAACAATTTCACTGGATCAGTGCCTATGGAGATCGGTAATCTCACCGAGCTCCATTTCATTTCTCTAGAAGACAATTGGCTCAGTGGAACAATTCCGCACCAACTTAGTTTTCTGCAAAAGGTACAGAACCTGGACCTCGGGTCAAACTTCTTGGAGTCCCCCGACTCTTTGAGATTTTTCTGAATGGCATCCCTCACAAAACTCTCCCTGTATTTAAATTCTCTCACAGATTTCCCAACCTTCATTTCCCAATGTAAGACGTTGGTGTACTTGGATTTATCTCAGAATTGAGATCAATGGTTCGATCCCAATTCAAATATTTTCTGATCTCAGTGACCTCAAGTTCCTTAACCTCACTTTCAATTCCTTTCAAGGCCTCATTCTGACTGGAATTTGGAATCTTGAGAACCTGGAGGATCTCAGACTAGGAAAGAACAATCTCACAGGTACAATTCCTCATGAGATCAGTTTAATTTCTAGTCTTCGAGTACTTGAGCGCCATGAAAACCCACTGGCTGGACCCATCCCTGCATCTCTTGGACGACTATATGCTCTAGAAAGGCTGGTCCTTCTCAATTGTGGGTTGAATTCTAGCATCCCATCTCAACTGGGGCAATGCACAAACTTGAGATACGTAAAGACTTAAGTGGCAATGAACTCTCTGGTTCTTTACCACCATCACTGGCTTCCTTGCACAGAATTGAGAACTTGGGTATTAGTGGCAATAGGATTACAGGTGAAATCCCTGGCCCTTGTTTTTCGAATTGGCCTGATCTTGTTAGTTTGCAACTTCAGGAAAACTTGCTTGTAGGACCAATCCCATAAGAAATTGGCCTTATGAAAAAGCTCGTCTTGTTATACTGATTCGCAAATCAAATTTCCGGATCAATACCTCCTGAAATAGGGCATCTCATAAATCTGGGGGAATTGGATCTTTCAGATAACCTGCTTGATGGTTCTCTTCCTTCCTCAATTGGAAACCTGACAAAACTTACTGCATTGAACCTATTCGGGAACCAGCTAACCGGAACTCTACCTGTTGAGATAGGGAATCTCGGGTCCATAGTAGCCATCAACCTGAGTGAAAATAGATTTCGGGGGCCCATTGCCGAGCAGCATATCTCACCTAATAAGTCTAGAGATTTTCTACATCTACGGCAACAACTTCTCCGAAAATTCCACTGGATTTTGGCCCAAAAAGTTTTCTTTCAAATGTGAGCTTCTCAAACAGCAGCTTTTCGGGTGCATTGCCTTCAAAAATTTGCAAAGGCAAGAAGCTAATGTACTTTACGGCCGACGACAATAATTTCACAGGGCCAGTTCCAGAAAGCTTGATGAATTGTGAGACCTTAGTTAGAGTCAGATTGGAAGGGAATCGTATCACTGGGAATTTGTCAGAGTTTTCATCGAAATACCCAAATTTGGAATTCCTGTCTTTTGTCTGAATCAATTTTTTGGTTCAATTCCAATACACATTGCAGAGCTAATTCCTAATCTAGGAACTTTACTCGTTTCTAATAACCGTGTTAAGGGAACCATTCCCACCTCCATAGGGAGTATGATAAATTTGCAAGTTCTCAGTTTTTCCAAGAATGAATTAGCAGGACTTCTACCCATTAGCATAAGAAACCTCGTCCGTCTTCGTTCTTTGCTCCTGGCTAACAACATGTTACAAGGTCAGATTCCATTCTCATTGAAAAATTGTTTTAGAGATTCTTGATCTCGGAGAGAATCAATTGTCAGGAAATATTCCATCCTGGATTGGTGAGATTTCCCCACTTCGTGTTCTCAGTCTACGATGTAACAGGTTGGTAGGAACCATTCCTCCAAATATGAAACTGCTCACTTCTCTCCAGGTACTGGACATTGCGGGAAACAATCTAATGGGCACAATCCTTGGCATTTTTGAGAATTTCAATGCAATGACCATTAAAGATACTGGAAAAAGCTTGAAAATGAGTGGTTCATAGTATTTTGAGAGTATCAATATCGTAGTAAAAGGGAAAATGCTGGAATATAGGAGGTCTCTTTTTCTTATGACAACCAGTGATTCCTGAAGAACTAACAAGGCTGATAGGCTTGCTGGTGTTCAACCTGTCAGGAAACCATTTCAGGGGGAAGATTCCTGAGAACATTGACAAATTGCAAGAACTCGAATCACTGGACTTATCAAGTAACTTACTTTCAGGCGGCATCCCTCCAAGCATGTCATCAGTGGCATTCTTGAGCTATTTGAACTTGTCCTACAACAATTTGTCAGGACACCCTCCAGTGGCCAAATAAGCGCATTCGATGCAACTGCAAACTACGGGAACAAATATCTATACGGTTCTCCACTCCCCAAAAAGTGTTATGGTGATGAATCTGTTCGAAATTCGAGCAAATATGAGGATCTTGGAAGTGGGTCAATGAAGGTTCCATGGTTTTGGATAAGTGTGGCTTTGGGATTTGGATTTGGACTTGGATTTGGATTTGAATTTAGTGGGTTTTTCTCAGTTCTACTTGCTAAAGGGCAATGGACTGCCATGGTCCTCAACTTCATGGATGGCATTGTGGAATCTTTTGTTTCAAGGCTGCAAATTTTGATTGGCAATTGCAAGTGCTAATCAGTTCAAAGAAAGGAGTTGGAGAGTGAAATTGCAGAAAACTAGAACAGAATGTCTTGTTAGTATAGGAGCTCCTTTGTCTGTGCTTGTTTGATAATTACATCTTGTGTAAATGTTATGATGAGGAAGTTCAGTTCCATGGCTCTTTTTTTATTTTTTAGAAAGAGAGAGAACGTTGACAGTTATAGAAACCACATATTGAGTTTTGTATCTTGTATATTACAAGATATTAAAATTTTTTATATTGAGTTTTTTATTTTGTGGGATTACTATTGTAATGGAATTTGTTTCTTAAAAAACACGAGTTGTAACTCTATAAATCTCTGGTAAATCAGAGTAATTCGTATGAATGAGATACTGGTTTACCTTCCGTGGATGTATGCATTATTGCCGAACTACATATATATTATGTTGATTTATTTCTTTTTCTCTTCTCACTATTTTTGTTATTGCAACTTCAACACCGTGTCATAGCAAAAGTGTTGAGATCTATGTAGAAAATCACCACAGTTGATAAATTCCGGATTTGTGTGAGTTTCTCTTGGAAGGCAAAAGACGGGCATATTTTTTGCACCTTGCTACTGTAAAAGACGAAACTTTTTTAAAAAGACGGTGCGCCTTGCAGCTAACGAAACTTATTTTTGCACCTTGGAGTGCAAAAGACAGTGCACCTTGCAACTGACGAAACCTTTTTTTTGCACCTTTTAATGCAAAAGGCTGGAATGCAAAAGGTTGCACTCTGTGCACCCTCAAGATTACCGTAATATCGATGTGGACTTGTTTTACCCCTCATCCTTGTTGATGTTCAAACTTTCAAACCTGTCAAGGTGGTGAGAGAGAAAGCAAATTGATATTTTTAGCATTTAACACAAACAGTTATATGTACTTTGACAACTTCTAGAGAGAGAAGTTGTTCTCATTGGGATCTTCAGTCAGTTCTCATCAAGGTGTCTTCTATTATTCAATCGCATAAAATAACGAAATCTAAAAATAACTCTAGTATGAAATTTTTTATTGTTTATTTGAATGGACATAATTAATCTTGATTGGTCAAAAGTTGTTTCTTGTTCTTTCCTTGGAAATATTAACGTAGATATATAACTAGAAAGAAAATCATCAATCTTGATTTCAAACCTTCTAAAGAATGTGTCGAGAAATATTCTCTAGTTGTTAATAGTGAGAAATATGAAACAAAAAGGCATCTAAATAGTGGTGGAGGTGGAGACTTTAATAATTATTACTATGGTGGAATGGGTCATAGTAATAAATGACGTTCTAGATATGATCACTGCAACAATATAACATATGTGAAAGATATGTGTTGGGAATTATACCCACACTTAGGCCCATTAATAACAAAACAGTCGACAAATCTACTGTTCAGACTACAACTGCTCAAACCTAATTGTGATCATTATCAGCAACCAAATAACAACACGGTTTCTACTTCATTCCCGGACACCGGTAACCATTATGCTTCCATGTCTTCTTGTGACACTTTTTCTTGAATAATTGACTCAAGGGCCACCAGTCATATGACTAGTAACTTACAGTGCTTATCCAACTTAAAAAATAATAAAATATGAGCCATGTGTCTATTGCTAATAATTCATTGATTCTTATCCATGGTGTTGGTGAGACAAATTCTTCTCCAAGTGTCATGACTTTGAAGTTTTTTTATGCCATCCATTTTCTCTAACTTAATGTCTATTAGAAGAATTACTCAGAACGTGAATTGTAATGTTATTTTTCTCTTAACTCTGTGACTTTTCAAAACCGGGCCATGGGGAGGACGATTGGTAAAGGAAGATTGTCGCATGGACTATATTTATTTAATCAAGAGAATAAGGCTTTGGTCTGTAATTTTGATAAAATTTTAAAAATCTTAAATCCCTCTATATCTTTAAACTCTCATTCTTGTAAAGTTTGAAAATTCTCAAACAAACATGACTTCCTTTTCAGTCTTCAATACATGTTTCAAATGAACCATTTTATCTCATACATTCTGATGTGTGTGAACCAACCCAATTGATTATTATGCTAACTATAAATATTTTGTTACTTTTATTGATGATTGGTCTCGGGCTACTTGGTATATTTATTGGAATAAAAAACATAAGTTTTTCCTTTGTTCAAATAATTTTCAAAACTGATTTTCACTCAATATACTGGCAAGATTAGAATTCTACGAACTGATAATGATATAGAGTATGTGCTTTGTTCTGAGCATTTATGTAATCTTAATATTATACATCAAACATTGTGTGTTGAAACATCTCAGCAGATTAGAGTTGCTGAAAGGAAAAATAGACATAGTTTGGAAGCTATAAGGTCTTTAATGTTTCAAAATGCATGCATGTTCCAAAAATTTATTGGGCTGGAGTTGTTTTAACTGCTTGCTATCTAATTAACAAACTTCCGAGTAAGGATAAATCTCTCGTTGAAGTTTTGAAAAAGATAAAAATTGATTTGTCTCATTTGCGTGTATTTGGATGCATGTCGTATGTTCATGTGGATGGCCACAATAGAGATAAACTTGATTAACATTCCAAGAGATGCATACTTCTTGGATATTCTTCTACAAAAAAAGATACAAATGTTATGATCCCATGACCAAAAAAATGTATATTTCTCGAGACGTTCAATTTGTTGAAACATAAACATATTTTCATGACATATTGGAGAGTTGTTTAGAAAATAGGACTCAAGGGGAGTATTCAAAAGGTCGTTTATCATGACCTAATTGTCACACCCCAAGAAATTACAATACAGATATTCTTGAGATGTGACAGCCCAAAACATATATATATCTCTTGATAGAACAATTTACAGTGGCGAGGTCTTACAAAGTAACAAAAGAAAACTAGCACAACAACAATATCTTCCAAGGTTGATCTTGACTAGCACTCAAAATGAATCCGTAGTTATCCTGAAAAAATGTTTACCATAGTTTGATGAGTTTGGCTACTCAGTAAGTGATCATCATAATCCTAAAAATAATCATGGTTAAAAGATATCAATATTTTCAAAAAAGAGATCTATTAACAGAAATGCATCAACAGTTTCACTTTCAATAAATGCATAATTAAGTATAGTCCGAATAATTGAACTGCATATAACATTTTAACGGCAATGCATAATTCAAAGGATTTCACAAAATACCCTACTGACGTCCCAAGTAGGTCACCTATATACCCCATCAGCGTCCTGATGGGTCCACTTAATCCCTATCGACGTCCCAGATAGGTCCACTTAATCCCTACAGGTCCACTTATACCTCACTGCCGTACCAGATGAGTCCACTTAATCCCTACTAGCGTCCTAGATAGGTCAACTTATACCCCACCAACGAACCGGATGAGTCCACTTGTATACTTAAAGTATTTCTAAATCTCTTTAAACATTCGAAAGCAGCAATATCATGTACTCAATATATCACTAAAATCATTAATATGAATTTCACTGAAACCATTAATAACAGTCACTTTCAATAACATTTTAAAAATAACCAATCAAATATTTGGGCTCAAATTTAGAAAGGTAGCAGTTCGTAAAGATATTCTAGCATAATTGCCGATCTAATATGTATAGAAAAACTCTTAAAGAAATTCAAAAAATACGGAATTATCACAATTTATGGGATGTTAATTTGCAAATAAACATTTCACAACAATGCTATACTCAAATGCAAAAATATCAATTTTCAGATAATAAGGCAGTTATTTGCACATGAAATTTACAATGTCTAAATATTTAAAAACAGTAGAAAGAAATCTCACAATTTTACTAAAAGCAGAAATATCACATTTATTTCTAATAATTTGATAGTATCTAAAATTTTCTAACAATAGACAAGAAAAATAAATAAATTTATTTTTCTAAGAATTTATAGCATTTAAAATTTCTAACATAGATAAAATATCACAATTTTTATTAAAAAGATTATTTTTCAAGATAATGAGGTCGCGTGCGTATAAAATTTATCGCGTGCACATAAAATTTGAGAGGGAGCTTCCGATAAAAAATTCGGTTCGAGAGAAGAGTTCACTGTGTTTCGACCAGAGAGAGAGATCTCAAAATTTTCTAGGGTGAGAGTGCTCACCTCCCCTATTTAAATTCTTATAACGTATTATTATATTATTTTATTAAGCTCTACCTCATACTTGAGGTGTCGCGTTAACAGTCTGTTTTTAACATATGAAAACCACGTCCACTAAAGGACGTGGCAAGCAGCAAGCAAGAGTTTAAACCAAGTAAAAACTTTTGAAAATAGTGATGGTCCCTGAGGACCATCACCTATTTAAAAGTATCTTTTTTTTTTTTTAAAAAATGTTAGGATTGTTACACTAATATTAGTACTAGTGATGTGTCCAACACACCCAAAACAAGTCATGATGATCAAGCCAAAGCTGAAGATACCTCTGAAACCCACCAAACTGGTTTAGAAGAGAAAGATTTTGTCGTGGTTGTGACTCCACCTGACCCCCCTTTGCATAGGTCTTCTCTTATTTCTAAACCTTTATCTAGACTTCAAGATCTTTATACTTACCATGCAGTTTATTATCCTGATCAAAATCATATTTGCTATGAAAATATCTCTCTTGGATATTTTGCTATTTTGAGTTCTATTTCTAATAATTCTAAGCCAACTAATTTTCAAAATGTTATTTCTCAACTTGTGTGGAAGAAAGCTATGAAAGATGAACTTCAAGCACTTAACAAGAATCATACTTGGGACATTGTCAAATTACCTAAAGGAAAGAAAGCAGTTGGATATGGATGGGTTTTTAAAATAAAATATGGTAGTGATAGATCTGTTGAGAATCATAAGACCAGATTGGTGGCCGTAGGAGTCGACTATAAAGAGACTTTTGTACCAGTTGCCAAGATGAATATTGTTCGTATTCTTTTGTCTATCGCGGTTAATTATGGGTGGTCTCTATGTAAGATAGATGTTAAAAATGCCTTCTTACATCGGACCTTGAAGAAGAAGTCTATATGAGTCTTCCTCCGGGCCATTCTTTGGATCCGAATAGTATACATGGGATCCGAGTTTGATCTGGGTTCAAATCGGATCCTAGATATTCGAATTTGAATATGGATCCGAATAATTTACATCAGATCCAAATTTGGACCTGGATCCGGATTACATATGCTATTTAAAAAATATATATATATAAAATAAAAATTTACTATTTAAAAAAAATTGGGTTGAAATCCGGATCTGGATCCAAATCGGATCCACCTGCACCCAAATTCGATCCAAATGTTAATTCAGATCAGACTTTTGGATTCAAATCTAAACTTGAGATCCAAATTTTTTATCCATACTCGGATCCAAAAAAGGTCCGAAATCCAAGTTTCAAATGCATATAGGATCAATTCTCACCCCTAAGTAGTAGCCTTCCATTCTCCTCTCCCTCTTCCACGCAATGGCTTGCTGGTTCTCTATCGTATCCATGCCCTTTTCATTAAACGTCACCATCCAATTTTCTCTCTCTAAAAGGCTCCTCGCACACCCCTTTTCCCATTCTCTCTCTACATTACTCTTCTTAAATTTCAACGTGCGAACAGTTTACACTCGACCTCCAACTCGTTTGAGAGACCCAAAAAAATTAAATTACCGAGGTAGACATCAAAAGTATTGAAGGAAAAATCTGGTGGTCTAACAGGGGAGCGTTTAGTTAGATCGGAACGGGTTACAGGCCAACCAATTTTTTGTCTGATTGGGTATTTTAAAATATATATATATATATAAAATCTTAAAAAATAATGGATTGTTTATAATGTATTTTTTAATGTTTGGATATTTCTGATTGAATTCAAAACTCAATTCGCATGTTCATATAGCTATATTTATTTCTGAAAATCTTAAAGATCTATTATACTTGGGCCAACCGCAGCCCTATCAAAAAAAGTAAAGCCTTACATCAAAACCCACCGAAAATTATAGCCGTCGAAAACTTTCAAATTGATCATCTAGGCATTGACCATTATAGTTGTGATAATAATAATAATAAGATTTCAAGCCCTAAAAATAATGATAAATGATCTCATAGGACACTCTCCTACCCATATCTGTAAGACCCCAAAAGATCACCAATAAATTTGACACGCACATCCATATGATAAATTTTTTAGAGATCCGTGTCAAATTTAATGGTGATCATTTGGAATCCTACGCACATGAGTGGGAGAGGATCCTATAGGATCATTACTCAAAAATAATATATGTTATAACATATGATCGAGACCATCCATTTTACCCTAAAAATAAGCGTTTATAGATCTGCAAGATATGTACCATTTTTTCAACTTTAAATTCAATTGTTGGTGTTGAAAATTGATTTCATAATCATCATGGAGATTTTGAATGCCCAAAGTATTTTCCAGATGAAGATTCAAGATGAGTCTTAGTTTTTTACAAAAAGTCTAGACCTTATAGAAACTACATTATTTATTTATTTATTTATCTAAACATAACCTGCCAATGACTTAGACTCAACTCAGGTTCAAGTCCAACTGAAACCTACTTGGTGGTGACCCAAGTTGGGGTGACCTGACCCGACCCGAATAGTTTACACTCCTACCGTCAAATCGTTTGAGAGAGACCCACAAAAATTAATTTATAGAGGGAGACCTCAAAAGTCATTAGGATGAAGATAGCCTCTTGAAATTGGCTTAATCTCTAGTCTCAAAACACTCAACTTGAGTGAAACTAATTTTATGGTTGGACCTATACCAGCATCTCTTAGACAACTTTGGGCTCTTGAGAGTCTAGACCTTTCTTGGTGTGTGTGTGCAATTCTAGCATCCTATCTCGGCTTGGGATTTGCAAGAACCTAAAATACTTGTACCTCAATGACAATAACTTAACCGGTTCTTTACCACCATCTCTTGTTGGATTGAGTAGAGTTTCTGAATTCGGTATCTCTAACAATGGTATTACCAGTGCTATCCCTGCATATATTTTCACCAATTGGACTGATCTAACAAGATTGCATCTCGCAACGAACTCACTCGCAGTATCAATCCCACCGGGATTTGATCTTCTCAAAAACCTCCGATCCCTATTAATTTATTCGAATAAGATTTCAAGGCCTATCCCTATAGAAACAGGGAATCTAACAAGACTTGAGTTCTTGTATCTTTTTTATAATGAGCTCAATAATGGTTCACTCCTCTCCTCCATTGGAAATCTTTCCAGGCTTGTTAACTTGCACCTACATCGTAATCATCTCACGGGGTTTACTTCCTACAGAACTGTGGAACCTCGTAGCAATTGAATCTGTACATGTGGGGGTAAATGATTTTCAAGGGCCATTACTTCCTACACCTTACTCCCAAGACCCAAAGCTTCTGGAAATGAGTCATCCCAAATTGCTGAACCTAAAATTCCTTGGTCTCAGGAACAATCAATTTTTCAGGTTCTATACCCAGAGACATTGCGGGAGTAATGCCAAACCTAAAATATTTGTGGGTCACGGATAATCATATTACTAGCTCCATTCCCACCTCTATAGGAGACGTGATGAATTTGACCTTGTTTGATCTTACTGGAAATAAATTGATGAGACCTATTCCGACAACTTTGGGAAACCTAACTGATCTCCAGTATTTAAACTTGAATAACAATACATTATCAGGAAAAATCCCACCTTCATTGGAAAATTGTTCCAAACAAAAAATATCTTGATCTCAGTGAGAATGAGTCATCTGGGACCATCCTGTCATGGATTAGCAAAAGCATCAAGTCCCTTTATGTCCTTCAACTAAGATCCAATGTGTTCAGTGGGGCGATTCCTGGGGGGATCTCACATCTATCTCTTCAAGTGCTAGATCTTTCATTCAATAATCTATCAAGTACCATCTCTGATATTTTTAACAACTTAACAGTATTGATCACGTCCGTGATTGGCAAAACCATTTGAAAAATATCGAAAGGTGTTATTCTATGGGAAGTTTGGAAGGAAAGAAATAGAATGGTCTTTGAGGGTAGCTCTTTGCCTTTTGAGAGACTATTAATTACTATCAAACAATCGATTTGGTCCTGGTTGTCTATGACAAAAGAGGGATGGGGTATCTCCAAGGTTGATGTTATGGCTAATCTTAGTAGTCTTTTTCTTCTCGAGTGTGTTAGAAATAGACCACGAAGTTTTTGGACTGCACCTTCTAATGGAAGCTTGAAGCTTAACTTTGATGGTCATTCCTTAGGTAACCTGGGTGTAGCTGCGATTGGTGGTGTGTTGAGAGACTGTTTGGGTAACATTCTTTTTTCTTATGTTGGTCCGATAGGGATTAAAACTGCAAATTTGTTGAACTGAGTGCTCTACTGAGTGGGGTGAAAATTCTGGTTGATAGGAAACTTGGTAAAAACTGCTGGATTGAAAGGGACTCTTTGAATGTCATTAGATGGTGCAAAAAGGAGCAGAAAGTTCCTTGGGAGCTTCGTTCCCTATGGTTGCAGGTCATGGATTTGATGGAACCTATGACAGTCTCCTTCTCTCATGCTTATCGTGAAGCTAATTCTTTGGCTGATTCTTTGATTAAGGGGGTGCTTCTCTACCTTCTCTTGTTATCTCCTATAATGTAATTTCTTTTTCTTAGTCATTAATAAAAGCTAAGAATATTTGTCAAAAAAAACAGCAATCATCATGTCCAATAAATCAAAGAATTACATAATAAATGTGGAATTTTATGGAGAATTCATGGATTATATTCATGGAAAGGTTAAGATATGTGCAAATGGGAAGATGCGGCAATATAAGGAGTTCTCTTATGCTCCGAAAGTTATCAACTTTTTGAGTAATAATTTATCAAGATGGATTCTAGAAGAACCGACAAGATTGAGTAGTTTGCTTATGCTGAACTTGTCCCATAACCATCTCAGTGGAAAGATTGTAGACAACATTCATAAGATGTCACGTTTGCAGCCCCTTGATTTCTCAAACAATATGTTTTCTGAGAAAATTCCTCCGAACATGCCATCTATTACATTTTTGGGGACTTTGAACTTGTCTTTCAATAAGTTATCAGGACCCATTCCCTACAGTGGCCAGATGTCTATATTCGATGCTTCATTGTACTACAAGAACCTACATCTTTGTGGTCCTCCTCTTCCGGAGAAATGCACTTGCAGCAAGTTAGTCGCAAATTCAACCAATAGTAGGGATATGAGAAATGGTCCATTAATGAGTCCATGGTTTTGGATAAGTGTTGGTTTGGGCTTTGGTATTGGATTTGGTGAGTTTTTCTAAGTGATATTTGTTCAAAGGCAATGGTCCTATGCTATTCTTGAGTTCATGAATTGCATTGCAGAAATTTTGATTACGAGATTGCAAACTTTGATCTGCAATTTGTATGGTTTGAAATATTTGAGAAGAGGGGTTTAAAAAGATTTGGTATGTGAAGATGTCAATAAAGGTCAAATGGGTGCAAGTAGTTGTATTTTGCAGAATGTATATTCAATGTCTCCTAAGCTTGTACCATGTCTGTTATTGTGTTTTTGCTTCTTCTTTTATTACTTTTTGAAATGCATCTATTGTGCTTTTATGTTGTGAAAGTTCAGTTCAATGTCAACAAAGAGAGATGTAGAAATGGGTTGTACCCCATAATGTTATCAACTGGTGTACAAAGGTATCCAGGCTACCTTGGTGTTTAAAGTCTTAATGGTTGGAGATTATGGATTTATACAATGATTTAACTGTCTTTCAATCATATTTACCGTGAGGCTAATGGCATAACTATCAATTTGGCGTGTAATGGAGTGGATCAGCATGCTCTGTGATATTAATAAAAGCTCTAGGATAATGTCCAAAAAAAAAAAAAAAGACAAAGAAGACAACTAGAACGAAATAAGAAAGGCACAAAAGGCTTCTGAAGCAATCAAATCTTCACTATTTGTGTTTCGGGTTTTGATGATACCAAATGGAAAGAGTTTCTCACACGATGTAATTCACCATGACTGCTCTTTATAGCAACGCTAGTAGAAAGAGGTCTTAGGACCAGTGCTAGAAAGAGCGACTCGGGACTGCTCGGCCCAGGCCCCAATCCGAGTAACTCGGCCCAAGTTGGTCCGAGCACTGTAGCCACAAAAAAGTGTTAAAAAAATAAAAATATTAAAAAAAATCCTTAAAAAATAGGAAAATTATGTTTAAAGTAAAATTAAACAAAACACATCTAAATGAAGTTTAAAAATTAGTAAAAAATGAATTTTGACAAAATAAATTTGTGACTGGGGGTGGTATTTTAAAAATAATCTAAAAAGAAGGGAAAATATATCAATAAGTATTCATTGCCAAAACACTTTCCAAACTTTGCCAAAATGATAGAAAACATTAAT